GCTCTTAGCCGTCAACCAGTGATTTGAAGAAGTAATCCATATTCAAACACTCATTCTTTCCACGAGGAATTAACAAAAGAAATGATAATTAGTTGGAGGGAATTTCAAATTATTTTTAATCCCATGACTAGGGTGGTGGGTTGGTTTGGAAGATTAGAGTTCTCAAGATTGCTAGAAATAACACTGAGATTACAATTCCAATTAGTCCAAAACGCGTGTTTCGTTTGAAATAACACGAAAGAAAGAAAAAATTTTATCAGCATAGCAGAAACAAAACTACTGGAATCAAGTCCATCTATAATGTGATGCGTGTTTTGGAAATATTTATTTATATCACATGGCAGGCATCTTGATGGTTATCATTAGCCCTTTAGTTGACTTCAGGCTTCTCAGAGGGGAAGGAACATCAAATTGAAAAAAGTCGAGAGGGGGGAACAGAAGAGTGTTTCAAAGACGTAAGAGACAAACACAAAGATAGAACAAAGGTGAGGTGAATACTGAGGAAATAGTCGAATATGGCATAGAGTGAGGTGATGGTAGTTTGAAGTGAGAAGTCAACTGCCGGTTAATAGACTTTTTTTGCCGTATGAATATGCGTTGCCCAGGGTGCACCACGTGGAGGTAAGTCTATCGCACACCCCGTGTTTTGGAAATAATGTTCAGGGAAACGACTTGAAATCAACTAGCACCAAGGACCAAATCACCCTCTTCCAAAAGATTAAAACATTTAAGCTAGGCAGTCTCTTAACGGAATAGCTTTACTTATAACTAAATTATCAACTGGACAGACTTGGTAGAAACCTTCATTTGGAGGAGAAGGCTAGGACAATACAGGGAGTGTTGTGTCGATCAAGATAGAAATAGTAGGGTTGAAGATTTATAATAAATGCTTATGACGGGGTTATACCTGGTAACCTGATACACAAATTTAAGTTGGGCGCTTTAAGGCGACATCAGCAGAGGCCTTGAGGTATGTGATTTCGAAATGCCCTCACTTATCTGACTTGATTTATTTACTAATGTTTTGTTATTTTTAACTCATTTTATTAAAGTTGTATCCGTAATTCGATCTTTTAATAAATGGCCAAATCAGGCTTGAACTATTGATACTGCTTTTATTTTTTATTTAGGATAGTGGGGTGTACAATAGACTTACCTCTACGTGGTACACCCTGGAAAATGTGTACTTATACGGCCAAAAATGTCTATAACTCGGCATTTTGCCATTTGAAATACTTTTGTTAGGATCGTATACCAGGAGACGCATGTTTACAAAATCTCACTCGCCAAAAGTAGTTGCCTCCAAACCTGCATATGCAAAGAGCTGATTAGAACGGAGTGGAGCAGATGCTAATCACATGTTCAGCAAGAACGCCGGCTGCAAGAAAATAAGTTTCAACTCAGAGGAAGTGGCTCCGAGGCTATGGTCAATATGTTTGACTTAAGGCACTGCAAATTTCTAAGTCCGACGCTGTTGGGAAACTGGCGATATGCTCGTTAAGGAAGATTGTCAGCCTTTGTGGGGGGGGGGCACATAGCATTATGGAGGTAGGGTCAATCGATGACAAGTTTTCACTTAACATTGGCATTGAAGGAAGTGGCGATAGTAGTAAGATGGTTGGTTTTCTTAGGATTTCATTAGTGCCTTGTCTATAATTTTTTCATGATAAATCTGCATTTAGACTAAGCTTCCTAAATATGAGGGTTGTTGATGACTTTTAGCGCTATTTATTAGTCTGATGAGAAAACTTTAAAACATCGTCGTCTGTTTATTTGTGCAACGCAGAAAATAGTCAAAATGTGTACTCGATAAAATGAGCCCTCTGCCTAATTTATCTTATTTTTGCAAATGTAACAAAGAACATATTAGTATTAATCTAAGTTGGAACACCTGCACCTCTGAAAATGAAAATAAACTAAATACTCTTAACAGGGATTACCGTTAGATTATAACGAGAATTATTACACTATCGGGACTAAGTTTCAAAAAATTCCCTTCTACTTATATCATTTGAGTAACATCTGCGCTTAAATATAATTATTTGCTTGAAGCACTATTCAATAGTGGCAAAATTCGCTCCTTCAGTTCATCATGCCATTATAACGTCAGAGCAATACTCCTACCGGCATTTTGTCCACCCAGTTCAGATATTCAACATATTTTGAAACCATAATTAATGTAGCGTTGCTTGTAGGGCAACCGTAGACGGTACTACAATGAATACCCTCCCCCCACCCATTCTTACTAAATTCAACCACTTCAATTGAATTTTTGCACATCTTACTACCAACCAAATTAGTACATTATAATCCAATTGCTTCTGAAGTAGACGTAGAAGGTAGTGGACATTGTCGTGGGAAAATCAAGACATCTAGTTGTTTTCATTTTCGAAATAATTGCTACACTTCAGAAAAAGGTAGTAAATAGGGAAAATTTGGAGCACACTTTCAGCTTGAAACAAATAAAGTTAAGACTAACATGGCAAGTTAAATACTGATATAAACAAATGACAATAAGTCACTTTGTATTTGACAGACACGATTAACAATAAATATAAGATATAAATAAAAGCTAATGCGACAGTAAAAGCTGTATGCTGGAAAAAGAAATACAGTAAAAAAGCTGCATTAATCACGCAACTCAGTACCCTAGTTAGTGTATAATAACAATAGATCAAGTGTCCCATAATAATTTCCCAGCAGTCTTTCACTAGCGCTTGTTAGGATCTTACTAACAAAGGATGAATGAACTAGGGAATTATGAAAGTTTCCACATCAGAATCAGGACACCATGGAAATCAACCGCGAGTAAGTATAAATCTGCTCTAATGAAGGATAAATATGTTACCAGTCGCCATATGAGCAAGAATATAAGCGCAATATCGTCACCATAGCAACAGAAATAAGCTTTTTCAAACAACGGACAATGCAATCAATTAGACATGAACAGAAATTTTAAGTTGAATAACAAGATACATGCATCACATTTATGAGTAGGAATGCAGTCGCGACTGTACTGGCGTACCTGAAAGAACGGTGTTAGTTTTCTGCAAATAAAGCCATTCAAATTAAGCGGAAAGAATTACAGGCAAACATAAGCAAATTATAAAAATAATATTAATACCCATTGACGAGTATAACGGTGCTAATATTAACCCCGATTTACCCAAAAAATGAGTGCTGAAACACACCTTCCTTCGAAATGCGCGATAATGGCTAAGAGAAACTTAAGGATAAGATCGGTATAAATAAAAGAGGTATTAAAATCTTAGAGAAAAAACAGTTTTAAAAATTAGCCGTCTAAAATAATCGTAAATCCGAACAAGTCGAGTGGAAAAGAAGAAGCTCGATGACGAAATATATTAATTTTATCATCGATACAGCTACAAAATCTCATCATTACTGACTCCCTAGGCAAAATTAGTGACTGCTGGTAACGAGTTTATCACCGAGGAAGATTTTACGATCACTGAACTCTTCATCATGGAATTTGCGCTCAAGCAGAGGCGAATGAGGAAAATCAGGAGTACCCTAGAGAAGCACAATCGCTAAAAAAATTAGCTCTTACTGGCCAAGTGACGGGACGATGAAGTTTTTCAATTCGAATGCCCTTAAAACCTGTCTCCCAAGTCTAACAAGAAGAAAGAATAAATTGGCATTTATAAAATAGCTTACCCTAGGATTGTACTTAACATTGTACCAGAGCATACAAAGGGTGATATAAGGATACAAAAAAATTGGAAGACCTTTGCGTAAATATCCCGTATATTTTGGTCCCTATTAAGAAATAATATGCAAAAAATTTGCAATACCAAAATCGGTCTGAAAACACCGGCAATGCCATCAAAGAATTTAGAGTGAGCCCGGCGAAAAATATTTTTGCGAGTAAATTCAGGAACATGGACAGGTTCACGTGGAGAGAGCTTCTGATCCTCCAACCATTGTTTACGGAGGGCTCTCTCCTCATCCGTCATTTTTTTAATAAGACGCTCACGTTCAGTTGGCAATGGTTCAATGCTGAAAGGATAAAATTTGCCACCACGCTTGATGCGAGCCTCTTTCATACATTCCTCTTTGTATAATTTCTTTTGCATTTCAATAATAGCGTCATCTAACTTTGTGGATGACATCTTAACGTAACTGAGAAAATGCGATCCACACACTCAAAGTGTATGCTCTTCTTACAGCGTATTTAAAGAACTTTATTTATTTTTGAAATAGTTGCCTTAAATATATTTAGACTTATGTGTTTGAGTTATCACTTTTTTAAGTATTTTTAATACGCAGCATAAGTCTTTTATATTTTTTTATATTTTCACTAGTTTAATTTAATGAAATTATTTGATTTTATATCTATCAAGGAGGGGTGTGTGATAGACTTACCTTCACGTGGTGCACCCTGGGCAACGTATACTCATACGGCAAAGAAGTCGACTTTCACAGTACTCATCCCACCTTTTATCCACCTTATCTACCTTCGTCTTTGATACACTCTTCTGTTCCCCCCTCCTCTTGAATTTTTTACACTTTGGTGTTCCTTCCCCTCTGTGAAGACTGAAGTCAACTAAAGGGCTGATGATAACAATCAAAACGCCTGCCATTTGATATAATAATAATAATATCTATCAAGGAGGATACCTTTGTGTGAAAAATAGAAGGTTATATACATATATATGATATGGAAATTAACTAAAATTATGACTATTCGTAGCACCATATTTTAGCTGGGTTTTACTAACAAAATATTGTTAGGTTATTGATATTAAATTAGTATTCGCTCCAGTTGACATTACGATGATAGTCTGAATGCGTATCCGAAATGCTGTTGCTCATAAGATTCTGCGGCCACTACATTGTGGATCATATGTCTGCTCAGTTTTAACAAGCACAAACTGGCTTCCGAGTTTAATCAAATCAAACTATTCCCCCCCCCCCTTACCGTTGCTATGTACGACTTTGACCTGCAACTCAACCTCTTCTCTCTCTTTTCTCTACAGTCTTTCAATGTACCAGTGGTCCATTCTATTTCTGATCCTCTTGATCTCGGAAAAAATAATTCTTCCTGTTAATCCTTGATTTCGATTGCTTTTAAAAGAAGTATCTTTATCCGCTCAAAAAATCCGCTTCTCTTGAATGCACACAATATTACCTAGACTGAACATTTCACTTTATTGATGAACACGCCATGATTTGAACTTGGAATCTCCTGATTCAGAGCTAGACTAGTTTAACTTGTTTAATTTTAGGGGTTCTCATTGAAACAAACATGTCAGCCAATCTTTTTATTGTTATGGTTTCTAATTTTCGTAACCCATTTTCTGCTTCTATCCTTCGAAATGAATGGGATGATTTGTTTTAAGGGTGATAGCTCTCGTGCATAGTTTCATTTTTTTGTATTTTAAGACGCTGATTAAATCTCGCTGTGTTGGTTATTTTGTGTTAAAATGCAAACATATCGTTCTATAAGACCCCAGGAGAGCACGAATAAATAGAGAAATTGACGAGATTATAATGATTCATTATGTACCAACAATGGGAGAAACCATTAGGATGTTTGAATAGAATCAGTTAGTGAAATTAATTAGGAATAATCCGCAACTAAATCGACAATCAATCTGAAGTGATACCGGTAAATAAAGCTGGAAGTTGAGCGTTTGTTGCTTTGCAAGGAAATTGGCAATTACCACAACTGATTACCCAATCTCTAAGCATTTTGATCAATAAATCTTGCTTATTATTTTGGACGTAAACACTTATTTATTCACCGGCTTTTCGAATTACAAACACCAAGACCAGGAAAATGAGTTGTATTCATGCATGCAAATTCTACTTTGGCTGAGTGATATAGAATCGCCGTACCTCCGTCTTAACACTCTTTGTCTATGTAAACTGGTGCCCAACAAGGCAGCCTACACTTGACCTTCTAGTAGTATAAGAGAGTAATATTACCTCACGATCCGAAACAGAATTATAAATTTTTGGTGAGAGGTATTGAAATAAGGCCACGGCAACAATTCCAAACATGGCCACGGCTTAAAAGGAGAATGTAAGATGAATGGAATATGGTTGTATGCAATACATTTATTTCATTCAATTTCTTATTTACTTTTTTCAGGACTGCAACTAAGAATTAAAGGCTAAATTGATTAAAGAAGGGATAATTAAAATGATACTTTCCCGCTTTCGGCAAGACATTTTAAATGCTTTACTGTTTCTCACCACTGGGAACGATGGTTTCCTGAAAGAAAAAAAGTTCTTGCATTTAGGACACAGATTAAATGCCCTTCCTTTATGAGTTGTTATTCTGGAATATCTTCACCAGAGCCTTTCGAACTCAGCTCCTTCTTGATTTGACGTGTCTTCTGAACTTGTGATACAAAGTGACCAATAACTTGGCTGCCAAGGGAGGGGGGGGGGGGTTGAGTGCCAAACCATCCATGATTTTACGGTTGGCTTAACACTGGAGCTATCTCTGATGCTGATGAAAGTTCTAATTGTGCGTCGCAACCAGATCGATAATTCACTATCTTCAGTAATCTTCTGCCTGAGCTGAAGTGGAGAGTTACAAAAGCCCATGAATAGTGAATAGGTTAAGCAGCTATTTGCTGGTCACTAGGCCTTATCTAATGATATTGATATTGCTTTCAATCCTTTTGGGTGTGAGCTCCATCAATGGCTAGCGCTTTCTCCCTTGAAGTTATTTAGCACAATTTTGGAATATGAGACAGCATTTGGCAACTAATCCTTTCCTACTATCGATACCCAATTCAATACGAATATCCTCCGGTTATGATGCATTTATATTTGAGCCATTTTCTGGTCTATTAAAAGGAAATTTTAGGAATGTTCTTTGCCTAAGTCTGCCAGTATAAACCAAGGGTCGCAGATAAAATACCCATTAATTCTATTTTAATGATGAAGAAGCCCATTTAGTTCTAACATTTGCCCAAGAAATAAGTCAACTGAGACCTTCAGAACCAAATTATATTTACAAAGTTTGGGCAGAAGAAGTTGTAGATAGGATTGAAAATATAAAAAAACTGAATTCTAATGAAAGGGTAAACGGTGTCCTGCAGAACACTTATAGTGATTTATCACCTTCTCTTCATCGAAATATCCATTTTAAGGTGTCAGAGCAAAACACTCACATCACCATCATACAGGTCAATAGTGATTCAAATACTAACCCTTCACCTGGCCACTTATACATTACTAAATGTAATAATTAAATTTATATAATGAATATTACTGGGGGATTAGACTATTTTATCTTTTCTCTCTCAGGTTTGAGAAAACTGCATTCCTTAGTATCCAAATGAATACATAAGAGCATTTATTAGATATAAGATATATAGTCTGTTCATTGATAAAGTGAAAGATGGTTTTTCTGGGTAATTCCACATCTTTCCAGTGACATGGATTATTTGACTCCTTCATTAAATGCCTCCAATGTTTGGTCTATCAGTACTGCCATTACATCCATAGGAACGTCGTTCATCATTTCAGGTGCAAAAAAGTAGGCAAATGTTTTTTTAACAAAATAAGTTTAGTTCATAAAGTTTTCTACACTATCTACAAGCTCGAGCATTACAGTTTCGAGGGGCTAAGAGAGATTACACTTCCCAGTTAGGCAGTAAACCGATTTAATTACGACTTTAAAATATATAAGCGAAATATCAAAATAATTATATGTTTCAATGGGAATAAATTAGATATAAATAATAACATTTATATTCCTCTAAAGTAAATGATTGATCAACTATCCTTCACACATTAAAATACTAACAATGCCATGACAAGATTCAGCCGTAATGATGATACATTTGTGGAATGCGCAACCCTGCCATGGCTGAACAAAGAAATTTTATGCCCACACAGACTGACTCGAAGGTGAGGCCAAGCTACTTGAAGTCATTGATAAGTCAATATTCGTCGTGGAGCCGCCGCCGGAAGAGGAGGCCAGAGATGAGTGAAAATTTCCATCCGGAAATCAAACAGTCGAATCGCCACCCACTAGTGTCAATTATTTACTGTCAACACTCATTTTTATACACCCCCACTTTGTCTCCTTGTTGAAACCCCCCTTCTAATAATATCATTTTGCCCACTCTAACCTTTCTACTGTTGTATATGTAACCTGTGCTTAGTCCAGCGCGTAATCCTCAAAAAGGCACTGTTCATCCTCCAGCTCTTACATTCCAGTCATTGGCAGCAGATATCGCCAATCTTATCGCCTCAAAATCTTTCATAACTCAGCTCATTATAATTACAAACATTAAGTATCGAGGACTTTTTCTCTCGACCGTTTTTGTATCCCGTCAACATTTTAGGGGGTGGGAGTATTTATTCATATCAAATGACCGGCTTTATGATAGTCATCATTAGCCCTTTACTTGACTTCGGGCTTCATAGAGAGGAGGAGGAAAATCAAAGTCACGAAAAGTGGATAGGGAGAACAGAAGAGTGATTCACAGGTGAAAAAGAGAGAGACAGACAGACACACAGGCATAAAAAGGTAAGGTGAGTACTGTGGAAGGAGTCGAATATGACAAATAGTCGGGCCATAGTATTTTGAAGTCAGAAGTCAACTGCCGATTAATAGACTTTTTTGCCGTTTGAATAAACGTTGCCCAGGGTGCACCACGTGGAGGTAAGTCTATCCCACACCTCAGGGGGGGGGGAGTATTGTGGAGTGTACAGCCTGTCATGGATGAACAAAGAAATCTCATGTGCACTCGAAGGCGTGCCATGTTACTTGTTGCGTAGACAGCCCAGAGACCACCCTTTATTGCATTCTTAATGACTAAGACAGACACACAAACCAAGTAAACGTGTTGCACAACTTACGCCCCATTTCCGCCAAAGATTTGCGGTTACTTAGGTAATTCTGGGAACCATTCCAAACTAGGCGAAATACCCAAAGAGATTACTGAGGAAAAGTGAAGGATTATTAGTGAAGTAATTCGCTGCAGACTGTAATATTGAATTAAAATGGTCAATTATATTTTTTTCCTTAAATACATTAAAACTTTCTAAACAGTCATATTTTGGGCGTCGGATTCAACACTCTTATCACGTT